GCAGACTTGAGAATTAAGATCGGCACAGCAAAAAACGAGACGCACACCAGCTACGCCAGAAGACTTGTTAATCAACATAGAACTGGTACTATTAGCCATCGGACGTTGGGGTTCATACTGAGGGGAGGATCTGAGCACCTATGGACATGTCCGGAGTGCAATGAGGATAACCCAACTAACTAACTAATTAACTAACTAACTAACTAACTAACTAATTGTTACTGCAGTATGCACCTGAGGAGATACGGCGAAATTTGCCAGGCAATAAATTGTGCTATCTATTGTTTGTCTTCTTTGTTCAAATTCACAGAGGTCTATGTTCTCTCCCACTCTCCTTGTGCTCCCCTCCCCCCGCTATTGTCAGATGCAAGAGCAGGTAAGACGCCATGTCTGCTGCTCACACACCGCCATGTCTTTACATTCAACAACGCTATCCTCACCCTTTCTTTGTTGCCAAAACATCTGCCGCACGCTTATTCTAATCAGCCTGTTCAATTTACATGACAAAAGGTTACCAAGAGGTCAAGAATCCACGCGAACAGCCCCCTTCAATACACAACCCTGAGCCTGTTTATAAATGGTTCAAAACGCCATAGCCACGCGATAATAGTCCTACTACATACGGTAATGTAATGCAATGTCAACCGACGGCATTCCAGTAGTCCCCACTACGATCTCTTTGTCAGCGAGTGGATTACGGTCGTGGTTTCAAAGGACGCCGAGATGGGCACAATCAGATGGCGGGTGTCTTTGTGTGTATGGTGTATGATAGTGGAAGTAAAGCGAACAAAAGTCTTCTTCTTGATGTCGTTTGAGCGTCAGAAACGTGTTATCTTCTTTGGGCAACAGCCCGCTACGTGACTTAGTAAAGTCAGTACAATCCCTCGGAAGATATATTTATATATTTTATTTAAGACGGGGAATCCGGTTTTAGAAATAAAATGGGTCGTTTGTCGTGGTGAGGTCATGGGGATCGTCTTACAGCTTTCGTTGTCTGGGGGGTCATACGGGTTCAGAACGTGTCAGACAAGACGCGTCTGCGTAGATATTAGTTCTGTTGATTTTTATAAGCTTTTATTATTTTTGAAATCGTGTGTTTGTCTGCTTGTTTGTCTATTTGGCTGTTTGATTTCGATTTTTATATCTTTTTAGTGCACCCGTTATTGAATGCAGGTTAAGTAGTAAAAGCTTATAGCAGTGTTTCCCAAACTGGGCGCCGCGGCCTCTTCACAGGGGCGCCGCGAATTGCACGAGCTTCATAATAAACTAAACCAAGACACGAATAGTTAGTTATACTTTTACTTAGGCTAGGGCGCCGTGGAAAATTTTAATTTAGTTTGGGAAGCAATGGCTTATGATATAAAAAGTGGCTCTTTTTTTCCATTGCAGTATTAAACAGTACATCATACGTCTTTTGTCATTTAGAGATATTATGATTACCTAATTATCTTCAGGAAACTAAGGTAGCACAGAAGCCAGAGTTTTCGCTGGCCGGCCTCAGGATGGTGAGTTCGAATCTGCACCGAGGTTTTTCTAAACAAATTAACCGTTGCCTATCAGGTCAATACAGTCTTAAATAAATACTAGGTAATGTCTAGAGAACATTCGCCTGTGGATTCATAGGTTGCGGGTTCAAATCCGAAAGGAGACAGGTTTTTTTTTTTTTAATTTCTTTTCAAAAATGACTTTGGCTACTCCCAGGTCGATTTAGCCTTAAATTGGTGCAAAATAAGTCCCAGAAAGTTAATATGGCTGGCGTGATGTTGTCCACATTACCTACAGAGTGTCGACTAGTCTGCAAAATATAAGAGTAGCAGAATATGCACAAAGACGTGCACAAGAGTACTATTGTCATGGAAAGTAGAAGTAACCAGTCTGATTTCGACTACATCAATCACCGAGTGCCGACTGGCTCACAGAAATGCGATGCTTATGGGAATGCCCGATAAGTTTAAAAATGGGATCCTTTACTTTCTACTGTTGTCCACTGTTAATTGACAAAGATCTGATCATCAAAGTGGCTAAAAACAGCATTTTGTCTCGGAAACTGAAATGTTTTGGTCATATCAAGCGTCATGGCAGAATTAAAAAAAACTAATAACAAAAGGCATGGTACCAGAAAGAAGGGGCAGGAGTTGACCAACACGATGGGCACAGGAAATAAGTAATTCCTTGATTTAAAAGTAATCGGAGAGAGGGGAGGTGAGCCGGCGAGAGACCGAGTTTTTTTTTTTTTTTAACGCAGACTGTGATGAGAGCTACGTTCTGCAGATGACCTGATACATGATGATGATGATGAAGATGTCAATTGTATAACAAGTGACCAGAAAGGAGACGATTCTAGGTTATTTGGTCACGCCACGAGAAGGAGAAAACTGGAGTATACCGTGACAGTGGGAAGTTTGGAGGGGAGGAGAGGCAGAGGGAAACCGAGAGAACAGATGCTAGACAGTTTGACACCCTGTCATGGAGGATCATCTGTGTCAGAGTTGACTGAAAGTGCATGAGACAGAAGGTTGTGGATATAATTGAGTTTCAAGAACCGACATCACATAACTCCGGAAATCCCTATATGGGTTGTAGATAACTATGACTACCAGTTTTATCAATTTTCGGTCTAATTTGAGTCGGGTTTTTTTTTTTTTTTTTTCCTGTTTTAAAGCCCCTCCCGACTGTCGTCGAGGGCCCTAATATAACTTCATGGTTAAACGGGATCTTTGGGACTTGTGCCGAAGTGATTCCCATTCGAAAAACGATATCGTTTTTCTGCCGGTGATGTGCAGACCTCCACGAAAATATCCAGATGGCCAACCAACATTTTTGCTTCCATGTCTGTCACATCAGATTTAACAAATAAATTGTTATATATATCATCATCATCATGAACCACTTCTGCCGTTAAGCGCCGTTGGGAGGAATAATTTGCGATCCAGTGCACGTTGGCTGCCACTGGCTATTGTCATGCCGTGAAGGCGTAGAGTGTCTTAAATGTTGTCGATCAATATTTTCCGCGGCCGTCCTCTTGCTCTTGTAGTTGATTTTCTGAGATGTAGTGCTTGTGATGGTATTTGATCTTGCTGCATTCTAACGAGATGGCCAACCCACTTGATCTGCTGTTTCTCGATGAATCTAGTACAAGGTGTTGTTCCCACAATTTGCCTGATAGTTTCATTATTCACTCTATCTCGGATGGTTAGGTTGGCTGCTTTTCTCAGGCACCTCATCTCGCAGGTGGTAATTTTGCGTAGGCCTATATGGGCTTTAGATAGTGTCCATGTTTGGCACTGGTAGCTTAATGTTGGAATAAATATGCTATTAATAATCTGTCTTTTTGCACTCATAGTTATGCTTGGATGTCTTAATAATGGTGACAATTGGTATATAAGTGCACTTGCTTTCCGACATCTGGTTTCTATTTCTCTGCCAATTCTACCATCTTCTGTGATCATACTTCCTAGATATTTAAACTCCCTAACTTGATTCAGGGCAGAACCATTCAGCTGTATGTGCAGTGGGGCAGAATGTCTACTAACTTGCATTGTTTCGGTTTTGTTTACATTGATCTTCATGTTGTATTTACTACATGCTGAGTTTAACCTGTTATTGTTAATATACATATACATTGTTTTTCTTAGCTTTCACCGGCTGTAAACTCGGGCGAAAAATTTTGGTTGCTCGTCTATTTCTAAACATTGGTCTTATTCAAGAACTTAAAATCTGCATGCACATCCGTTTTACAGATCTGGTATATTTGTATCAGACCTTTGGTTCCTCGCCTCTCAGGCGGATGCATTCTAACTTTAAAAAAACCCTAATTAGTCGCATAATACGGTATACTTATTAGGGAGGCATTAGGTCTACCCCCCCCCCCCCAAGATATATTATTGGTATTGGAACTCTGCCTTGGCTACTGAAAATGTGGATGAAGTGTTTATGGAAATACCCCCGAGTTCTGTGAATCATCTAAACTCCCCCCATGAATAGGGCCCTGTAATCTATAAGGGAAAACCACAAAGCACACACTCCCCGCCCCCCCCCCCCCCCCCCAACCTCCGTCTTTTTGCAGGTTAACAAGTTGAAGAACGCCGGTTAAGATGACCCGGAAACGATTGTATTTACTAGTTAGCCATTTGTGTTGGTTGTTGATTGTTGTGAAGGCGACGTGTGTTTTCAGGTGAAAAGATAAACAAACCAAATGAGAAAGTTGAACTAACATGAGTCAACATAAAGAAAACAACAAACGTAATTCTGATACCATAGAGGCAACAACGAAACGATTTTGTTATTCCGTTGATGATGCCACACATATAAAAGTGGAAATTAAAGACGAACCTGTTTTATGTACAGTATTATTAGATCGGCTTAAAGGCAGTGAACGCGAAGAGGAAGGAAAAGAAGAAAACGACTGTCTTGATGGTACTATAGATATAAAAGTGGAAAGCATTGGAAGTGTCCTAGGTACATTAAGTGGTCCATTAGATCGGGTTACAGCCGATGATCGCGAAGAAGAAGAAGAACAACAACAACACTCTCTTGATGGTCCTATAGCTGTAAAAGTGGAAATTGAAGATGTAGAAGCATTAGATCGTTTTACGGCCGGTGAACGTGAAGAAGAAAAAGATTATGATGAAGAAGGTGAAAGTGAAAATGAATCAGATGATGATGAATCTGTATCATCTGCTGATAGTTATGATCCATCCACATCTTTGGGATCTTCCGAGGGTGTTCGATGGAAGAAAGCAATTAGCTATTCAACCGCTTCTTTCCAACCTAATGGTGTACCTGGTGTCTGTAACATTCCAGAAACTATTAGTAGGGACAGTGAAGCAGTAGATTTCTTGTCACTGTTTTTGACTCTAGATGTATGGGTTCGGCTGGTACAGATGACAAACCTTCGAGCAGCACAGGTCAAAAACAGTAACCCCACTGACTACTATGCCGCCCGGTGGCAGAATGTCACTATCAAAGAAATGAAAGCATTCGTTGGTGTCCGTCTGAGCATGGAGTATGGCATTGTCAAAAGAGGATTAGAAATGTACTTTCGTAGAACTGGTTTTCTTTTTGATACACCTGGTTACCGTGCTGTGTTTACCAGAGATCGCTTCCTGGCGATATGGAAGTTTATTCATTATGTAGATGACAGGAATCCACTTGCTGACAAAACTGATAAACTATACAATGTACGTCCTCTCTTAGACCAACTCATTGATAAATTTCATACATATTATGTTCCGCACCAGCAGATGTCACTCGATGAAGGAATGATTCCGGCCAAGAATCGAACTGCGATGAAACACTGCATCCAGAGTAAGCCAGTGAAATGGGGAATCAAATCATTTCTCTTGTGTGAAAGTCAAACTGGCTATATTTATAATATAGAAGTTTACACTGGAAAAACTGCAGGCCAGTTGGTACCACAACTTTGTGCTACTGGTAATTTAGTAATGAAACTCACCTCATGCATTGCAGGACAAAACTACCAGTTGTTCATGGATGGTTTCTACAATTCACCGGATTTATCACGGCATCTGCTGAAAATGAATATTGAAACATGTGGACCAGTACAAGTCAATAGAAAAGACTTTCCCAGACAGTTGATTCGTCAACAGAAAGAGATGAAGCGGGGGGATTACGATTACCTGAGCTGTAGTGGAGTGACGGTTGTTGTGTGGTGTGATCGAGCTCCATTGTATTTCATTACAACATTTCATAATCTGAGTGTGGTGACTTTTGTTAATCGCAGGAATAAAGATGGCAGTGTTGTTCAGGTGTCTTGCCCACAAGTTGTCACTGATTACACAAAGGAAATTGGTGGCTGTGATAGAAATGACCAACTGACAAAATTGTGTCGGAGCAGAAAGCGCTACAGGTGGCCGCGTCGTTTGATTATGAACTGCATACTGTGGAGTTGCTACAATGCATATGTCATTCGCGGACACTTCAAGCCTCACAAAACACAAGGAAAGCGACAGAATACATTTTACGACTTTGTCGACGAACTGTGTATGTCATTGATTGGTGATGTCCGAAGCCCTGCCGTTCAGCGTCAACGTTCTGTGCAGGGATCCGTCGAGACGAGACTGTTGAATGTCGGAGACCACCATCCAGAAAGACCGGATGAGGCCACTGGCAATAACCGATGTGCTGTTTGTCGTGAAAAGGCAAAAAGATTTCAGTTGGCAAACCCAAGAGCTGTGCCAAAGGGTAACCCCTTCAAAAAAAGCAGAACGGCGTTCCGATGTTCATCGTGTTTGACCTACTTATGTATCAGACAAGGCAGCAGCTGTTGGAGAGACTACCACACTAAAACAGAATACTGGAGTTAACCAGTTGACTGCTAGTGAAATTATATTTACAGTTAGCCACTATGATGTAGCGGCTAGGTGCTTACTGGCAGCTCTGAAGGCCTTGGGTTCAAATCCGAACGGAGCCAAACTTGAAAGAAAAATGACCTTGGCTCCCAGGTCAACTCAGCCCAAAATGGGTACCAGGAAAAGTCATGGGAAGTAAAGGTGGCTGGCATGATGCTGACCACATCACCCACCAACTGTTGATCGGTCTATAAAATATAGATCTAGCCCAATATTCATGAAGGCATAGAAGAGGGTCCTTTACTTTACTGCTGACTCTGTGATATGGGGAGCTGCCATAATTATAGTGACTAGACTCTCGCCTGTGGATTCGGAAGGTTGTGGGTTTAAATCTGAACAGAGCCGGACATTTTAAAAGGTGACCTTGGCACCCAGGTCGACTCAGCCTTAAATGGGTATGAGGTAAAGTCCTGGGACATAAAGGCAGCTGGCATAATGTAATTCCCAGTGGAAAGTTCTGGTTGTTCATCCACTTCTGGACTTTAGTCTTGTTCCAGAACTTGAGTTTTGTGTATACATCCATTTTACAAATCTGACCTATTTGTATGCAGACTGTTGGTTCCTCGCCTCTCAGGCAGATACACTCAGAATTCAAAGGAAACAACCCTAATTAGTTGCCTTTTATGACATGCTTGTTGGGGGGGGGGGGGGGGGGGGGCGGGCTTTATTCCTATTTCCCCCCAAAATAGGGCCCCAGAACCCACATGTGGAAATTTGGATCTCATATCATGCTTTCCTGCCAAGGGTCCCACACTTTTTAATTGCTTGCACTCCTTTTGTTTGTCCGGCTTAAAAAAAAAAAAAATTTGTTAGTCGACAGATAATCCTCATTGCACATTTAACCATTCAGTGTCCTTAAGTGCTCGGATCCTGCAGCATGTAGCAGCTGATGACACCAGTTCTGTGTTGGTTTTTTTTTTTTAAATCTAACCAGAAGTAGACATTGATTGACACACATTCCATTTATCTGTGCATCTTCCCTTTGTAGGTTTCAGGCCCTATTATGGGGGGGGGGGGGTAGACCCACTACCTACCCAAAAACGTGTCGTGTCTTAAGAGTCAACCAACTGGGAGCTGCCTTTGAAGGTGGAGTGCATCTGCCTGAGAGGCAAGGAACCAGCAGTCTGCATACAAATGAGTCAGATCCGTGAAACAGATGTGCATGCAACACTCAAGTTCTGGAACACAGGACTGCAGTCTAGAAGTAGATGAACAGCCAGAACTTTTTCCAGAGTTTATAGCTGGTGATCGCAAAGAAGAAGAAGGTTTACGCATCTGCTGAGCATATATGCAAACACCCAGGCACATGAGCAATGGTAGGGAAGGAGATTTTTCACCAGTGACAGTTTATCAAATAAATACAAGTATTAGATTTCAGTGCCTCCTAACATTAAACTAAAATATGCTCGCTGTAAAATTCTTCAAACACACATACAATGTTTCATGTGGTGTATGTATGTGTTTATTTGGTGTTTTGTGAGTGGTGTGTTGCAGCCAAGTATGGTCTGATTTGTAAAGAATTTCTTGTGTATGGCAGCCCAGTATGGTTTGATTTGTTAAGAATCTCTTGTGTGTATCAGCCCAGTATAGTTTGATTTGTAAAGAATCTCTTGTGTATGGCAGCCCAGTATGGTTTGATTTGTAAAGAATCTCTTGCGTATGGCAGCCCAGTATGGTTTGATTTGTAAAGAATCTCTTGTGTATGACAGCCCAGTATGGTTTGATTTGTAAAGAATCTCTTGCGTATTGCAGCATAATATGGTTTGATTTGTAAATAATAAGTTTCTTATGCATAGATGCCTCCAAAAGAAATTCTCACCCACATTTGAGTGCTTGCTACACAAGGATGGTGTATCCATTAAATGCCATAGTTATAACTTCACTGGAGTTTGAACAGAGTTACTAGGTCACATCCTGTTGGCCTGCCTTCCAGGATGAAAATATTAAAATCTAAGGCTGGTCAAACATTCAGGTGGCATCCTGGTTGATAACACAGACAGATCAGACTTCTGTCGGTCACAAAGACAAACAAAGCTAAGTGACTAAACATGCTTCTTCTGTTTATAGTCTATGACATGTGGCATTGGTAGCCCTATCTATCCACAACTTTGTCTCATGTACTTTCAATCAATTTTGACACAGGTGATCTTCCATAGTCCATTCCATGTGGTGTTCATAGTCTATACAGCCACAACCATCAATTTCATATACCATCAGTCAGTTTTTATACAGATGATCTTCCATGCAATGATGTCAAACTGGCCAGCATCTTCTTATCTTGGTCTTCCTTTACCTCTTTTCCCACCATCACGATATACTCCAGTTTTTCTCAGAACGTGATCAAAGATGTAGATTGTCTTCTTCCTAAACACAATATATTTCAATACTTCTTTTACAGTTGCCTGCATATCAGACAGACACAGAGTATACAGAAACAAATAAATAAGAATAGTTAAATCCATTTAAAACAGTGTTCCATTTTTTTGGGTTTAAATTTTGTGGAAGTTTTTGTTTTGACCAGGAAAACAGGAGAAATATTTTTCCAGCCAGCTGCTGGCCAAGACAAATACAAATGTAAACAGCATTTTATTGATTAAATACAATAATATAAATAACAACATCAATTACTTCTTCATCATTTATCCAAGTGACATGGCGGGGGGGGGGGGGTGAGGCTGAGTGGTCTTGAGGCATGGCGTCTGCTTTGAATGCTGGAGGTCCCAGGTTCAGGCTGGGATTTTTTACGTACACTTCTAGTAATTTTCCCTGGTCTCTTGATAGTAAGATCGGACACTTGTGTGTATTGTTGCGCATGTTAAAAAAATATAAAAGAGTAGCCTAACTGCAAAATTTAGAGTTAAAAATCTACTCAACATATTTCAAGATCCTTGCCAGTGCTGTAGTTTGTGCACTGTGCTGAGATTCTTCGGACTCAGACTTGAGTTAGAAGTAGAACTGAGCACTTATGGGTTACTATCATTGTGCCATGATGTTGATCCGTTGTTTATTACCAAACACAGTGACTTAAATACATTGTGCCTGTTTCCAGCATAGCCGCAATATTTGTGCTTTTCAGGCATTTGCTATCTGGGTTAGCCTTCACAATCCATTTGATTTCTTTGTTTGGTTTCCACTATAGCCGCTACTTGATTATGTGGACATTTGCTATCTGAGTTAGCCTTCACAAGATCCATTTGATTTCTTTGTTTGGTTTCCACTATAGCCACTACTTGATTATGCTGAGATTTCTGGCAGACCGGCAGGTGATTTCTATGGACCACAGGCTAAAGAATGTTAGACATATGCAACCATGGATCACACATGCCATATCTTTCATTCATTGTCAGTTAGGCCCTTTACAGAAATGTTGCTCTCATCACAGCACGCCTAAAAGTTTATCTCAAGCCAGTTCTCCAGCCCTATGTGCTTTCATAGCCAAAGGATCTTTAATGTCCTATATCCACATTCTTGAAGGTCTGCCTCTGCTTCATTTTTCAGAAACGTCCCCTCGGTCGCCATTCTCCTTAGACCATCGTGATGTTTAACATAGCCAAAATAGCTCAGTTTTCAGGAGAGGATGTTGTTTATGAGCCAGTTCTCATTGATGCTCATATCATTCCTGTAGGATGTATTTCGTAACCATGTTAAGTTGAGTCAAGAATTGACAGTACAGCACTCTTGACATTCTCATGTGTGCTCCATACTCATCTTTAGCAGCCAGCGAAAAATTCCAATACTGATTGTACCGGTCACAATCTGGTTATATGTCCGTCTTGCCTTTCCTCTGAGTGTAGTGAGCCGGCCAGACTCTCTGCAGGTGCCTCATTCTCTCCAGGCCATAATAATCTTGTTTTTCTACTGATTCCGTTGCTTATTCCAAAAGGGCCTTGATCACATCTGCCTTGTCATGTATGTATTTTGTAACTGTCAAACAGAAATGCTGTGGTAACAACTGTTTCTCTTACAAAACAAGACAATAACACAAGTTGCAGTTGCTCATCTTTTGTACAGATGTCTATAAATTATACATCATTTTACAGATAAATGCAGTGCGTATGTTGTGTAAAACAAATTAATATCAGGATATTGGTAATAGTTAAATATTTTCATCATCATCATGTAGCTGATCCTTTGCAGAACTTCGTATGCATTGTTGGTTCCCCACCTCTCAGACAGGCGCACTGCACTCCGACGGAAACACACCTGACTAGTAAACTTTTATGGGTAAAACTACTGTTAGTCTCTCCAGACCCTGACCATATACACACTAGGTCACTTCTGATTGGTAGTTCCTGAGCCCTGTGACCTTCGCACAAGCTTACAGAGGTGTTCTACAATGCTGTTGATATAGCATGTTGTATATTTCAGCACGTTAGCGCTTTTAACACTCCAAAAACATGGAGAAACTGGATCTAACACAATCCCCCTAGAGATTGCTGCCACCTGTGTGACATGCATTCTCTGAAAAAATAAATGCAAGACATGGCAGAAACCAAACAACAGAGCAGGACACACCTGTAACCTTTCAGGAAAGTCGACCAGCCTAACAAACTTGTGAATGCAAAGGGACCTACTCTATTTGGGGAGACTAACGACGAACTAACCCTTTTATGACATGCTTATTTGGGTGGAGCAGGTCTATTCTTTTTTTTACTCTCCTCACAACACACACAGGGAACTTGCTATCCTATGTGGGTGGGTGTTCTCTCCTATCTTTTTGCCTAGAAACCATTCTCTCCATTACTGTTCTCTTCTCAACCTTATGAATAATAATAATAGTATTAACAATAATGTTGTTGCAAAACTTGAACATAGTAAACCCTGCTGAAAAAAGTGTTGGTTCATTTGTTGTCGGTTTTTTGTGTGCACAATATCAAGTTTAATGTTTTGTTGGTGTCAGTGGCTAAGGCATTGTGGAACGCTTTGTTATGCAGAGTTTGATCCATGCTGCAGGCGATTTGGCAGCAGACTGCCTCGCGCTGGTTTTAACAGTGGTATCGGGAGCCAGTGGCATAATGCTGGCCACATTACCCACCTAGTGCCAATGGCCTGTAAAAATATTGGTGCTGTTCCCATTTGCCCGATGCGCCTAAGGCGTAAAAAGGGAGGCTCTCCTCCGAACTTCTACACCTGCAGTATGGCGGCCTGAAATATCCGTTCGGGGCTCAGACCAATGAAAAATGTGGACTTTCTGCTAAGGAACAAATCGCGGCAAAACTAGGATTACTTGACAATTTCAAGAGACGCAACATTGCAGACGATAGTAGCAGACGATAAAAGCGACTGGTGACAATGGCGAGCGTTTCTGCAGACGATACTAGCAGACGATAAAAGCGACCATTGACAATTCGGAGACATTACAGACAATGAAAGCGATATGGACCACGCGCTCCCATGCAGATTAGCAATACTGTTCTTCTGATTGAGGATTTAGCAGCGGTAGATGTCAGACTTGTTGGCATGCGCAAAACGCGATTAAACTCACCACGAGGGTACCCCCAGCACCGCTACGCGCAGCGTGGATGGGGAGGCTAAACTAAGTGCCTGGGACTCACGAGCAAAGTAATTGGAGGAAGTTGCAGGAGATGCGGTAGCTGCTGCTCGTGAGTCCCAGCCATCTAGTTTAGCCCCTATCCGCGCCACGCGTAGCGGCGTGGGGGATACTGTCGGCGGTGAGGCATAATCACAGAAACAGGTCCGCAAGTATCATATCGCTGAGACCCTGTTAGAGCATTTGTTTCGTTATACGGAGCTGACATATTTTTAATAGAGCTGAGCACCGAACGGATATTTCAGGCCGCCATAATGAGGGGGTAGAAGTTCGGAGGAGAGACAAAAGGGATCTTTAATTACTTTACTATCTGGAGCCAAGCATTCAGAAGCAGTGGCAAACTGCTGAATGTAAAATGACCTAGTAAAATCAGACTGACAATAAAGCTGGCATTTCTGCAACATCCCATAAAGGACACACAACAAACTGCAATGGTTCAAATGTTTCAGTGTGCCAAGAGTTGTGGCTGTATGTGATGTTGTCACTCTGAACCTTTCTGGGTCCTCCATTTCAGTCTTGTCCTCCGTAATTTGGTGGGACTCCTGTCATTGTGTCCCGTCTTCTGTGTTTGAAATTGCATCCTCATTTCTGTTATCGCTGAGCTTCTGACTTCTGCTTTTGTACAGTCTTTAGATTGTTCCTATTCAGGTTCAGCAATAATGATGATGATGATGATGCTAGCAGTAAGGATGATAAAGATGTTAACAGTTATAATGTTCAATGATAAAAACCAATTGCATCTTTCTATTTTCCACCATTCAATAGCTGACTGTAAAAGTAAAAATATGTAAAGAATAATTAACCTCATAAATGCCACCAGAGATTGCAAAGTTGTAATGAATGTTTTACAAAATGTGAATTGATGAATTAAATAATATTGCTTATTTCCGATGAATGCTTACTTTTCTTGAAGTTTTGTGCTGCGAGCAGCTTTGGGCAAATGGCAAAAATATTTGGGTTTTTGGTTCGTTCGTGGTATATGGCAAATATGCAGACTTGAAATGGAAAAAAAAACTTTGGTACCCTTTGAAAATATGCCATGTAAAGACTAGAATCTAAAAAGACAGCTTTCTTTAGGAAAGCCCTTTACAGCTACAAACACAGGCAATACTAGCACAGATTAGAGAGTCGCCAAGGTCTAGTGGCTAAACACTTGCATGTGGATAGGGCGTATAGGGCTGGACCTGTATTTTTATAGGCCAGTTTGCTCTCCATGTAAAAAGATGAATAAATCCATCACCTAAGCCACCCGAAATGTGCAAGACAAATACAGAAAATCACGGCACTGGGCTACAACCTGGTATCAGTTAGACGACAAAACCACGACATTGGGCTACAACCTGGTATCAGTTAGACGACAAAACCACGACATTGGGCTACAACCTGGTATCAGTTAGACGACAAAACCACAACATGGGCTACAACCTCAGTTAGACGACAAAACCACAACATTGGGCTACAACCTGGTATCAGTTAGACGACAAACAACCACAACATTGGGCTACAACCTGGTATCAGTTAGACGACAAAACCACAACATTGGGCAGTTAGACGACAAAACCACAACATTGGGCTACAACCTGGTATCAGTTAGACGACAAAACCACAACATTGGGCTACAACCTGGTTATCAGTATCAGTTAGACGACAAAACCCAAACATTGGGCTACAACCTGGTATCAGTTAGACGACAAAACCACAACATTGGGCTACAACCTGGTATCAGTTAGACGACAAAACCACAACATTGGGCTACAACCTGGTATCAGTTAGACGACAAAACCACAACATTGGGCTACAACCTGGTATCAGTTAGACGACAAAACCACAACATTGGGCTACAACCTGGTATCAGTTAGACGACAAAATCACGACACTGGGCTACAACCTGGTATCAGTTAGACGACAAAACCACAACATTGGGCTACAACCTGGTATCAGTGAGATGAAAAAAACCACGACACTGGGCTACAACCTGGTATCAGTGAGACGACAAAACCACGACACTGGGCTACAACCTCATCAGTGAGATGACAAAACCACGACACTGGGCTACAACCTGGTATCAGTTAGACGACAAAAGTACGGCACTGGGCTACAAGCTGGTATCAGTTAGATGACAAAACTATGACACTGAGCTACACTTCTGTCGTTAAGCGTTGTGGGGAGGAACAGTTTGCGATCTATTGTTAGATGGGCAGCAATAGCTACTGTCATTCTGTGTCATGTAGAAGCTCTTTAATATCATCAATCCATCTTCTCCTAGGGCAGCCTCTTGCTCTCATTTCAGATCTTTTCATGTCTCGCGCCTTTGTTGGTAGTTGTTCTGGCTGGATTCTTTGCAAAATGACCCAACCATGTGATCTTCTGTTTCTCAATGAATTTGCAAATTCATGAAAATGTACAAAAATGAATGAACAAACATGATTTTCTCAAAATTAAAGTTTAGCACCTAAAAAAACTTTGACATAATGCCAAGAATACAGTGAAAGTGTTTTATATAGTACAACATGGTAAATAAATTATGGACGGAAATGAAAACTGCAGCTGCTTGTTACAATAATAAATACATCCAACTGACAAGTTTCCTACCCTCAGTTTAAATACATTCAAATTATACGCATGGATAACTTGTTTAAAAAACAAACCCAAAAAGATTACACATTATGGCAAATTGTCCAAGAACTAGACCCACAAAACCCAAAAATTGTGCATTGATAAAATATTCAGCAGAGAAGAAACAAAAATCTGCTGCATTTATGACGATGAAACAGAGCTGACAACACTGAACAGAGAGAACATTAACCAGAAGAAATACAAAACAGCAAAACTATACAATGTGGAATTAAGAATCAACATCACAGCACTCGGGACACTCCCATAAGTGCTCAGTTCCCCTATCTTTCGCAGCAAGTGAAGAGTTCCAATTCTGATGGTACTAGTAACCGTCTGATTGTATATCCGTCTCATCCTTCCCCTGAGTGTTGAGCTTCGGCCAGATGCCCTGGTAACTCCCTGCAGCGCCATTCCCCTTAGACTGTAATGATCTATCTGTGCCTCTGCACTGTTCACTTGCTCCCAAAGGGCCTTCACAATATCTTACTTGTCATACATCAATTCACCACCAAGTGGTGCAGAGGTTCTGTAACAAGGTTAAGTCCATATGTGGATGAACAACCAGAACTTTCCATTGAAGTTTACAGCTGGTGTACGTGAAGAAGAAGCTGTACAAGAAGATGATGGTGATGACAGACAATAAGTCAATAAATTAAAGTTGAACGCAACAATTGGAGGATTTAAGCCAGTCAACAGGGCACTTGATGTTGATGGGCGGCAGTATGATAGTCACTAGCAATCCTGTTTTCTGCTGCCTGCAAAAACAAAACATCAGTGCCAAAAATGTTCCCTATAAAAAAAAAAAACACATAATTTTGTAACTAATAGGGTGATTTTAAGGGCTGAAATTTATTACAATTATTTACATTAATTGGAAAAATAGTTTCAGGATACAAGTCATTCACCATACAAGCTCGGTCAACAAACTTATAAAGTTTGAATCCTGGGGTTCAGCTTTGTTAGACTTAATAACTTATGACGGACAACAAACAAAAATAATTTGGCAAAAATGGAATACAGTTAATAAATCAGACGATTATTTATATGACGACACAATTTTTGGTAAATATAATGAACAGGAACTATGTTCCCATAATGCTGTTTTCTGCTCATGGCCTTGAACCCATGTCCGGAAACGAAGGTTAAATGTATCTATTGTGTAACATTTCTGGGCAAGGTCACCATCTGACCAGCCACCGATGGCGTAGATAGAGTCTCTGTTGAGTGTGTATGTTCCGTATGTGCGTACAGTATTTAGCGAAGCGACCTCTTCCCATGAGTCAGTAGCAAAGCTGTAACAGTCGATGGTTGTAGCCATTATCCGGCGCTTGGTGACTGGATCAAGATGCCAACCACCAATGACATAAACTTGTTCTTCCCAAACAAACATAGAATGATCTGTTCTTGGAGTCAACATATTGGCTCGCTTCTCCCAAACATCTGTGCGAGGGTCGTACTGATAGAAATCATGAAAAACCTTCTCCTCGCACTCCAGAATACCCCCAGAAACTAGCACACACCGGCCTAAACTGGTGCCTGCCAGCTGAGACCTGTTACCTGGAAGAGGGGAAACTGACTTCCACTTATTTACCTTCGGGCTGTAGACTTCACAGGGAGCCACATCCTCTGCGTTCATATCAGAGGCACAGGGATCACCCCCAATGGCGTAAATCCGGTCATCAGATGCACACAGCAAGAACCGGCAACGTTCTTGTAACATCGGCGCAATGCTTATCCACTTATCTGACACAGGTGAGTAGCAGAAACCAAAAGGATGCGCAATTTCTTGCATGTGATCATTGAAACAGCCGCCGACAACAAATAACTGGTTCTGGTAAACAGCCACGCCAAAGTTAATTTGATCTATGTGTGGAATTTTTGTTAAATGTTTCAGTGATCCTGTACAACTATCCAAAAATAGCACATTGTTGGTCATTCCTGATTCTTTACTGAAGCCGCCAGCCACAATTATCGCTGAATGAAACCCTCGGCTGTTGATTAGACCAGGAACCTTGCATACAATGGTTGGTATAAAGGACTGTCTTACTTCTATTCGAGTGACAGACACTGAACTCTTTATGGCTGGACTGTAATTCGTCACATTTATAATCGTGTCCTCTTCCAACTGCTTGTATCGGGATAGTTTACTAAGTGTAGGTACACTATCAAACAACACTGGGCAAGTGTTCAATAACTCCACCCACTCTTTTGAATTAGCCACACTGGAAAACTCTCCCCACGAAATATTGTCAAATATTATACATCGCAGAATGCTGGTCATGTGACTGACTCTTCCTGATGGTGAGTAAGAAAACCACTTCAATACTGACACGAAGATGTCTATTTCTTTACAATTGACGGGGTAGCCACACGACAGGAGCATGATCAGAAACTGCGGTGTGAGCTCGTAAAAATCCCCGTCCACAGAGAAAGCTGCCCAGTTGCGACACATAAAGTTGAGGACATGATGCTGAAGATTTTTGAGCGAGTAGAGCTCTGCCACATTGGCTGCACTGATAGAGTTGTCAAGTGCCAAATGGCGTATCAGATAGTTTTCGCAGGCTTTGATTACTGGAAGAATCTGCACATGTGTGGCCCCAGAAAGAACATCAAAAACATTATCTGTAGAAAAGAAAACAATCAATATTTTTAAAAGTCTTACAGATCCTGGAGTTCACAAAGAATGACAAGAAATTTAATTTTTACTGTTAACTCTAAAAGAGATGAAGTGTTATTACAGGTTTTCGAAAACAGAGTCTTACGGCGAATCTTTGGACCCATCAAAGATGCAAACAGTGGGGAATGCAGAGTGAGAAGCAACAATGAAAGTCATAATCTGTTTAAATCACCATTGATCACTGGCATCATGAGAGCTAATAGACTGAAATGGTTGGGGCATATTGAGAGAATGACAGAGAAGTGAAAACTGTATACACAAGGGAGGTGAATGGTTGTAGACCACGAGGCAGACCAAGAAGACGATGGAGAGATAATGTCCAGACAGACCTGCAAACACTTGGTGTCACCAACTGGAAAGAGAAGGCAAACCAGAGAGATGAATGGAGGCAGGCGATATCTGCAGCAATGAACTTCAAGGGCTCGGAATGCTAAAGAAGAAGAAAAAGGATTTTGACAGCTCTGACCACAGAGGTAAAGATGATATATCTGTCACAGCATTAAAATCTTGCTCTGGCGATCATACTACGTGCCTTGCTTTGGAAAATCGCCTCATCCACAGCCTCAGCGTTCTTAGTCCAGGTGGTATCAATATTCAAAATACCTTCAACTAAATAGTTCTACTCTTATCACATTTTAAATTTTAATTATTTTCTTTTCTTTTATTTCATATTATTACTTTATTCTATCTCATCAGTATCATTTATGTATTATTAACATTTGTATTTCTTTTATTCCCAGTATTATATTATATATTAACAATACTACTGTTTATTTTTTTGTGACTATATTTTTTAGCCATCGTTTATTTAATTTATTCCACATCACATTTTTTGTAATTGTTGCCCATGTCACCCCTTTGAGATCTACATACTCTCCTCTCCTCATTGTTACGTTTGTGTAGTTCACTTATGTTTGAAAAAAGCTGCCCGGCCGAAACGTTATTTTGTGTTGTTTTTTGCACGTTTTTCTGCTTCCCCATTTTGTTGAGCTTTTTAGTCTTATTTCTCTGGAATTCCTGAGTATGAGCTTGACTGCAGTCCCCCTTCCCCGCACCCCCCCCCCCCCCCCACATATTTTCACTCTAAGGTTGTATGATTTATCCACATTTGTTCTTGATATGTCTAACCAAAGTTTCAAATATAGTCCAAGTTTCTTCTTTTTCTTCTGCATTTACCTTTTAATGGGTGGTTGGCACACTATGGTGTGGTTTACATGTCTTTTACAGCAGTAAGTTTATTAGGTGCCTGAACAACTTCTTCTCTTTAGTGTTTACCGGCTGTTAACTCCAGTGGAAAGTTCTTGTTGTTGATGCACTTCTTGACTCTGTAGTCTTGCTCCAGAACTTAGTGGAAAGTTCTTGTTGTTGATGCACTTCTTGACTCTGTAGTCTTGCTCCAGAACTTAGTGGAAAGTTCTTGTTGTTGATGCACTTCTTGACTCTGTAGTCTTGCTCCAGAACTTAATGTTGCATGCACATCCATATTTGTATGCATACTTTTGGTTCCTGACCTCTCAGGTAGATGCACTCCGACTTCGAAGGAAGCCTTCCGGCTAGTTGATTCTTATTACAACATGCTTGTTGGGGGTGGAGGGGAGGGGGGAACTGAGTTCATTCTTGTTTTATCCACAGTGGAGCCCTCCCCAGAATCCACACTGGGTGGGGGGGGGGGGGGGGGGGTTTGAGGACAACTAAATCACTAATCAATTATAGATATTCATGAACTTGTTCCTGGAAAGAATTTTAAAAAGATAATGTGGGGCTGAACAAATTTCAAGAGGTGAGACACACAAAAAATCTGCTGGCACTGGATAGGACACATTATTAGAAATTTAAATAATAGTATCACTATAATTTTTTTTGTCTACACCGGAACCCACATGGTTAAAGAAGTAAAGGGAGCCTTAAATATGAAAATAAGTCAGAGAGGTAAATAAGATAAGAAGGGCACAGAGGAGCTGTATAAAAAGCAAAGAATAAAAAGTCTTAATACACAAAGAATAGAAAGTCTTGGTACACAAAGAATAGAAAGTCTTGGCACACAAAGAATAGAAAGTCTTGGTACACAAAGAATAGAAAGTCTTGGTACACAAAGAATAGAAAGTCTTGGTACACAAAGAATAGAAAGTCTTGGCACACAAAGAATAGAAAGTCTTGGTACACAAAGAATAGAAAGTCTTGGTACACAAAGAATAGAAAGTCTTGGTACACAAAGAATAGAAAGTCTTGGCACACAAAGAATAGAAAGTCTTGGTACACAAAGAATAGAAAGTCTTGGTACACAAAGAATAGAAAGTCTTGGTACACAAAGAATAGAGAGTCTTGGTACACAAAGAATAGAGAGTCTTGGTACACAAAGAATAGAAAGTCTTGTTACAAACTGGCAAAGGGTCTTTGCCCCCCTCAGAAAATACCAGGTAGAACAAACTACCCAGTAGATGCAAAAATAAACATAATTCAAGGTAAAGAATTTGCTTACCCCCATCGATATTAATTGTGGAATTGTAGGCAAAATTAATCAGATGTTCCATACCGGATGCTGTTAGCCCAATCAGACTAATTCGAGATTCAGAACACTCCCTCAGCCCATCGGTAAACATAGCTCTGTAAACATTGACATAATATGAATATTGACATAACATAAACATTGACACAACATAAACATTACATTCTGCCTGAATGTAAAATACGAAAGCAAAGGACACTTTTCACACCAGTAGTTCAATAGGTAGATGGTGTTAGACCCATAGGGGATGTGGTTGAGATCGGCTCTATTGTCTTGTTTTATCCATTGTCCTACTGTGAAATATAATGTCACATAGAGCTTGCAGTCTGTTTCTCTATTCTGTTCTTTCTTGTGCAATCATATTTATATCACTGATGGAATACAGTCCGACATGTTTGGCTTCTCGCATTGATGGAATACAGTCCGACATGTTTGGCTTCTCTCATTGATGGAATACAGTCGGACATGTTTGGCTTCTCTCATTGATGGAATACAGTCGGACATGTTTGGCTTCTCTCAATAATGGAATACAGTCGGACATGTTTGGCTTCTCTCATTGATGTTGACTTTCTGGTTTCTCTTGAACGTCATTGTTTCCTCAGTTTTCCTTTTCAGTGCTGGTGCTTTATTAATATCCTACCCCAAACAGGGGAAATCCACAGGTTACAGGACAGTCTAATATCTCAGGGGGTGGTAGATAGGTTGCATGCAGAGTTCATGGCTACCTGAATGGGCTTGCAGCCTTAAATCCTAAAGCTCAAGACCCATCTTTTTATATCTCACTAAAACGAATGGAGGTTAAGGTAGTCACTGCATCCTTCCACTGGCTTGAGAGCCAGCTGCACACACATGTCGTAATTGTAACTGACTTGCAGAGCATGTTAAGAAAGGTGGATACAGATATGCTCTGTGCAGAGTGGCAAGCATCACTTTACAAGTCCCAAGTGATTAGCATCCTTTGGAAGTTTTCTCCAGGTTATGCTCACATGGTGGGAAATGAACAGGCAGATTGACTGGCTGCTTCTGCACAACTTGGTGGAGAAATGATGCATGATGTTGTAAGGGTCCTCTGGGAGCAAGTAAACAGTGCAGAGGTGTAGACAGATCATCCCGTTCTGAGGAGAATAGTGCTGCAGAGAGTTACCTGGGATCAGGCTGATGATCAACATTCAAGATAAAGGCAAGAAACATATACAATCAGACTGTTTCTGGTGCCATCGGAACTGGAACTCTGTACTTGCTGCTGTAGATAGGGACAGAGCGCTTGTGGGAATGTCCAGATTGGTGTTATGTAGATTCTTAATTCAACAAAAACAGGCAGAGAAGTCAGTTATACACAAATAAAGTCAAAAGTAAACAACTCTTTTCCATGCCTTCAGGGGTATTGGGCATATAGGGCTAGACCTACATTTTACAGACCAATGGGCACTTGGTGCATCATGCCAGCCACCTTTACTTCCCAGGACTGCACTTAATAGGCTGGGTAAGCTTGGAAGCCTAAGGTAAATTAAAAAAAAAAAAATTAAAGTCACACCCTTTTGGACCTGAACCCACAACCTTCGGATCTGCAGGCAAGCATCTTGCCGCTACACCATAGGGGCTTCCCAGTTATAACAAAAGATTACCTGAAATAATCACTGCAGGAAGCAAGTACAACTCTGTGAGCCGGAAACTCTCGGCCACCAGCCACTAGTGTCACATCAAACAACTGCTGCATCTCCCGTAAGTTTTGTATCCCCGCAAGCACAGACTTCCCATGCTCCACAGACTCAAATCGGACGTAGTCTTCACTGTCAGAGTATGATGACATCACAGAGTCCATTTGCAGGCTCATCCAGTCAGACCTGCAGCAAAATGATAAACAAATTGACAACAAAATTGACATACTGATTGGCAGTCACAATAAGGAGCAGAGAAGAATGGACACACTTGTCATCATGTAGCCTAACGACACTGCGCAGACAAAATTATGAGTCAAAAATCTACCTAAACAGTATTTCAGCTTCCTTGCCAGTGCAATGGAGTTCGTGCATTATGCTGAGATTCTTCAGACTCAGGCTTAAGTTAGAAGTAGAACGGAGCACTTATGGGTTTACACCTGTGTGCCATGATGTTGATCTGTCAACTATACTAAACTCTGTAGCAGGTACTTTGCACGTCTCTCCTATCACGGTCTGCCTGAAAGAAACTTGGTCTCTCACCAGCTCTCCCACCTTGTGTACTTTCATATTCAAGGAGTCACTTACATACTGTACCCATCTTCATGTTGGTCGGCCCCTGCCCCTCCTTCTTGGTACCATGCCCTCTGCTATTATTTTTTCCAAACCACTATGTCACTGAATATGACAACAATATTTCAGCTCCTGAGTCAAGATGCTGTTTATTAACTGGACACACTAACCAGCAAAAAATAAAAAGCTATAGTTAGCCAGGATTTGAATCTGTCACTTCTAAATTATGACACTACCTTGCTGCAGGACAAGTTTACTGTGACCCAAGACCAAGTAGACACCCAATTTAGTTCAGAGGAAAAGGTTAATAAGAGTTAAGTTTAACTTTTTTTACACCAGGCAGTATTTTTTTCTTCTGTTTCTCCATCTTTCTTCTACTCCTTCCCTCCTCCTCCACCTTCTTCTTCTTCAAAAGCAACTAACTTTGATCTTTTGCAACATCCCCAAATCCAACAACAATACAACATTACATTGAACCACCAAAAAAAAAAAAAAAAATTATTACTGTATTACAACCGAAAGGAAGAAATAATAGTAAAACAAACTAAACTAACTTCTGAGTTCTAAACTTTAGTTCAGTATATTTTATATTTAGATTACAAAAATAACTAGCCTCTAACCCTTATTCTAAACACAAACTAACTTATTAACTTTGATCTTTTCCAACATCCCCAAATCCAACAACACCGCAACATTGAAACCCAACAACAACAATAAACTTAATAATTACAAAGTAAAAGAGAGTAAATAAAGTATTAGAAACTAAAATAATTTATGAGTTATAAACTTTAGTTTAGTATATTTTCTATTTATAATATTAAAATAACTAGCCACTAATACTCATACTAAAACACAAACTAACTTTATAATAACTTTGATCTTTTCCAACATCTAGCCACAACACACAACAGAATTGTCAGAATTTACAAAAACTAAATAAAAATACCAGGGAGAAGGAAGAAACTAAAACTAGTAAATAGCAAAACATGACCAAATATTCACAGACACTGATGTTGAAAAATTAGTTTGGTATATTTATTTATGACACTAGCCACTGATATGAATATTTAAACAAACTAAGTAGTAAACTTTTTAACATCCACCGACCCAACGAAAAATATAGTTAAAGTTTATAATAGAAAAAATTAATATAATACTTTATTGTAATACTCATAAAAAGAAATTATTATAACACAAATTAGGCCTAACCAGTTATTTTTACAATTATTTACAGATATAAATGTTACAATTCAGTAAACTTTATGATTATGATAGTAAAATAACTAGCAATTAAATTAATAGTAAAATTAAAAGAGAAACTAGCTTTGAATGAGCTTTTTCAACATCCGTCGATCCAACAACAAACAAGAACTAGAAACATTACACAAAGTACAAGGAAGGAAATATAGAAAATTGTTCAACAGCGACTCACCTCCCTCAACCAGATGAACTATAACGGCAAATGAACCCTGCCAACAACACACACGTCAGCTTACGTTCAATTTACACAAGGGACAAAGCATAACTCGACTCTCCTCCTAAGTCTGACTGGCAGTTGGTATCCTTTTGTTAGCAGACGAAGTGGCAGCTGGGTCTCCTTGCACCTGCCATTGCTCAAGTGGGAGCGCTTCCGTCCGCCCTGTTGCCTGCCTGCTGCCCGGCCACAAAGAGACGGCCCTTTTGTTATAGTGTTAATTATTACCATATGGTTTTTATTTTGTGGAAGTCTTAATGGTTTTCTTTTCATGTTGATCCAGGCTTGGGTGGGTACCAGGTGGAGTCATGAGAGGTAAAAGCGGCCGGCGTGGTGCTGATCACATCATCTACCAAGTAGTAGCAGACAATGTATTGATTGGTATACATAGAAAGAAGTACCAAGTAGTAGTAGTAATAGTACTAGCAGCAGCTGCAGAAGTAGTAGTAGTAGTAGTAGTAGTAGTAGTAGTAGTAGTAGTAGTAGTAGTAGTAGTAGTAGTAGACAATGTATTGATTGGCACACATAGAAGGAAGTACAAAGTAGTAGTAGTAGCAGTAGTAGTAGTAGTAGTAGTAGTAGTAGTAGTAGTAGTAGTTTTTTTGAAAAATAACAAAAACATATTTTATTCAACCCTCAGGGTTATAATTGGGATATATGGTGCTGAGTTCTCAGAGTATGTATTTTTAGGTCTAGACCAATGGTTCTCAGCCTGGAGGTCGCGACCCCTTTTTTGGGCCCAACGACCCTTTTATAGGGGTCGCCTAAGACCATTGTAAAACACTTATTCATTGAAGCTATGAAGGGAAATAATTATTTGGGGTCGAAACAACATGTGGTTGGTTGGTTAGTTGTGTATCCTTTACAGGACGTTGGAGAACCAACCCAGCAGCTCCTGACTGTTGTGTGGTTTCTCTAGGCAAATTTACGTCCAGTAGTTTGCCATTGCTGACTGGACGGTCGGCCCCCTGATACCACTGTCGAAAACCATCGCAAGGCTCATGGCCCGCAGCTGGCATCAAACCCGGCACTGCGGCGTTACGAAGCGTTCTCATCGACTTAGCCAGAGAGCCGACCCACAACATGAGGGAAGTGTATTGAAGGGTCGTGGCATTAGGGAGGTTGAGAGCCCCTGGTCTAGACTGTAGCCCTATAAGCACAATCCACATGAAGGCGGGAAAAAAATTGGTCTTTTACTAGGTTTGCGAATTTTATGGAGATGTCTGGTAATCAAGTTGATGTTTATTTTATGGGGTTTGTTTCAATATAGTCATAATATAATATAGTCGTCATCATTATCAGGTAGCGTTCTAGTCATCCCCTTGTGGGGTTCAATTTTTCGTTATTTTGAAGCCCCACCCTGGCTCTTGCCAGAGGCTGCAATATAGCCCGACCAAAAATGTGGCATAATGGCTGAACGCGATTTCCGGGACCTCTCCACGGGTGATCCTCATCCACATGGTGGCACTTTGTGTCATCGGGTGTTGTGTGATGTCCTAGTGGGGTAAAATCGACTACTACTAATCATCATGTAGCAGCTCCTTTGCAGAACGTCGCTCTCATCACGGTCTGCATGAAAGAAACTTGGTCTCTCATCAGCTCTACCGCCTCAGGTACTGTCATACGTAAGGAGTCACTTATATTCTGTTACATCTTCGTGTTGGTTGGCCCCTGCTCCCCCTTCCCTGTACCACCTCCTCTACTATTACCCCACCCCCACCCCCACCCCACCCCACTCCCAATATGCCGTGGGGCTTGATATAGCCAAAATATGTTAGCTTCCAAGAATAGATGCTGTTTATTAGCCAGTCTTCCTTTTTTGCAGATTTTAAAGAATGTCAGAATGTCTTCTCTTCTTTGTCCGTGGTATCCTGAGAATCTGTAAATATTATTTCAGCTCAAAAGCCCCTATTTTTTTCACAGAACTGGGAGATAGTCCACGACTCACATCCGTGTGTTGCTACAAGGAAGATGCATGCTCGTAAAATTATGACTTTTTGACTTCCTTGCTGGTGCTAAACCAATAATGTAGCAGCGATATTAATATTAGTCACTAGCGTCAAATCTCCACCCTTTTTTTTTCTTTCCGTGTTTTTTACAGGATCCACCATATCATTTTTGCTGGCTGTGATTTCATGAGGCATTTTACGTTCAGTAGTTTGCCATTACTCTCTCAGTGGCTTTGCTCTTGATGCCAATATTTAAACCAAAGCAAGGCGGTCTGCTGCCGAATTGCCCCCAGCTGGGATATGACACGGTTTTCGGGAATTACAAAGCGAAAGCGCGTTCACAACTAGGGCTGCCGAAGTTGGTATTATTTGACCCGTGCTGAGCAAAGTTGTACTTTCGGCAGCACACGTAATGTTTTGGTAAATTTTAACAATTGTTCGTCAAAATTGTAAATTTGTGCATTATGTTGAACCCTTTAGAAAGGTGACTGGAAGAGTGCTGAAAATAAACGTGATGGTAACTGCAGCAACTGGAAGCCGCCGACACTACAGCTTTGTAACAAACTGAGAGGGGGAGGGGTGGAGAGGATTAGTACAGCAATGATGTAGTGGACAAGGAATTTCACTTCTGGTCAAATATATTATACGGGACCAACTATTCGGCCGAAAACGAATACGAATGGTGTGTCATCATCATCATCAGGTGCCTTGCCGACTGGCGTGGACGATTATGCCTCGCCACAATCTGCGATCTCCTGTAGCATGTATTAGTTCGTGCTTTGACACACCTCCATGCCATGCAACAAGACTGTCAATAATCTTCTCTCGTTGTCTTCCTCTATCCCTCCCTCGACAGATCTTTCCAGTGGTCACCACATGTTCTGTTTTCCTTCTTTTCATAACATGGCCGAAAAATGATGACTGTCTCCTTCTGATGTCTGTGATAAGTTGTCTTCGGGCTCCCGCCTCTTTCAAAACCTCTTGGTTGCTTTTTGTGTGTGGCTGTCCAAGGTATTTTAGGCACTGTTCTGTAAAATCACATCTCTGAGGCCTCAAGACATTGTTTAGCCTGCCTACCGATTGTCCAGGACTCACAAAGCATTGCCTTTAAATATAAGTGCTTACTTGACGAGACTAACAGTGACTAATGTACAGACCACATCCTCCA